AAAAGATGCACATAGATTGTTCAGAGTTCTTTTAGGGTTGGTAAATGTTCACGGAAAGGTTGGTGGTTTGAATTCACCAGCTGCCCTATGGGAGAAAGGTGGGAGCGTGTGTCTATAGATTAAAGCCCTAAAATCCTATTGGGTGGTGGTGGGTGGGGGCGGGGAGGAAGGCAGAGATCTCTTCTGTCCTGTAGGGTGGCTGTGAGACAGAACTGACATGACAGCAGTGAATAGGGAGCAAAATGCCTTTAGGACCACCATCGTATCCCAGTCCTTATTCAGATCGCACGTAGAGCTGGCCTGTTTGGGTGTTACCCAGGAGCAGTGCTGAATTGGCTGGACAGTATGCTCCAAAGTGCCCTGGCATTAGATACTGTTGCATTTGAATCTGTTTGGGGCAGTGGGATGGGCTGGGAAGGGTTACATGGCAAGGGAGAGAGCAGGTAAGAGGGGTAGGATTTGAGTGTTTGTTAACCTAAAATAGATAAATGCACTCACATTGCTATTGCATATTGTGTGTGTATATATGTGTTTAAGCAACAAAAAGAGCAACAAAACCGCTCTTTGTTTCCTGAGAAACAATATGATTTTCTTAACCATTGACAATGTAGAAGAGTCAGCTTGATAGGCTGTCAAAAAAAAAAGTGCAATTTTTATTTCATCATGGTCTGGTTAGGCGTGCGCAGCTCCAGTGAGTTGATTCCCAAGACATGCAGAGCCTGTGTCCAGCAGAAGAACACACGACCTTGTCCTGTGCTGTTTCATACTCGTTAGGTTTGAACCTGGGTCACCACAGCTGTATTCTTCTCGTCCCAAATTCAGACTACAATTTCACATTTGAAACTTTTACTTGGTTTCATATTTACATGTATTTTGTACAGAGCCTTCAGCCAATCATTCAAACTTTTTGTTGTCTGATTGAAATGTAACGTCTTGTACTAAGCGTTCCAGTGAGAAAAGTTGTCGAAAATACATTCACAAAAACCCTCTTGCAAAGTGTTATTCCTTGTATTAATAAAGATTTAGTCTTTAGCACTTAAGCTTTGTACAGCTATAAAAACAACCAACCTGCCAGTCCCCAGTAATGTTCAGAAACAGTTCAGCTGCTCTACTTTGCTCATTTCACTTTTCATTTTTCAAGTTAAAAAAGGGGGGGGATAAAATTTATCCTAGTGCCTTGGAAGATTTTTTAATGGCCCTCCAAGCTAAGGTGACCAGATTTTAACATTGGTAAAGTGGGACACCATTGATAAAACTCATATCCTGGCGAAATAGCCACATGGCA